CCAACAATGTGAAGAATTAAGGGAGAGGGAAAAGGTGAGTTATGTTGTTGATAGGAGATGAGCTGCAAATCCTTAACAACTCTGTACACTTAGCCCTAAGGATTTTAGACCTTAACTTACAAGTGATGAGATCCAATTGAAGGTGGCAACAGTGTATACTAGACTCTACTCCATCAAGTACAGAATGATAAACAAGACTCTGCTAAGTGAGAACCATTTAATGATTCTTTTCCAACAATTCAGATATGCTATATGAGCCTGAACTAGAATGCCGCAACAGAAGTGGACAGAAAGGGTGTATGAGCAAAGAATCAATAGAACGTGGTGATTTTCTAGGTATAGAGACAGCCTATGATTATCGGGTTTCTGGCTCAAGTGATTTGGTGGATAGAGATGGATTAATGCAGAAATAAGTTTGGACGAAAAGATGTTAAATTCAGTTTGTACATGCTGAAAGTGAGGTTCCTTTGAATATACCTTTTAGTTAGATAGAAAACAGCTTAACGAAATATAACTTAAGTTTTCACATTAAAGAAATATAAGTAACAATGGGCCGGCCCGGTGGCGCACTCGGTACAGTGCGGCGCTTGGGAGCGTGGTGGCACTCCCGCCGAGGGTTCGGATCCCATATAGAGACCGGTCCGCTCACTGGTTGAGTGCGGTGTGGGCGCGACACCGAGGGTTGCGATCCCGTTGCCAGTCACGAAAAAAGACAAGAAGGGAAAAAAAAAAAAAAGAAATATAAGTAACAAGAAAAAAAGGTCAGAACCCAGCAGCCTGTATTGTTTCATGTTTGTATGTCTATTGTATGTGTGTGTATTGGAGGTAGGGCATGATGTGGTCTGTAATGTTAAAAAAATTAAAATCCTACATATTCTTAAGACATGGATCAAAATTTAATCCTTCTATATTAAAATTTTACTACACCTACTAGGTTACATTTACTTCGCTCAGGACAGTATCACACTATGTAAAACAATTCTCCAACTACATTATAAGAAGGTGTAAGGCTTACATGCCAATGCCCTCCTGAAAACCCTGTCTCTAGTGCAGAGTTTCTCAACCTCAACACTACCAACATTTTATACCAGATAATTCTTTGTGGGGGGATGTCTTGTGCACTGCAGGATTTTTAGCAGCATCCCTGGCCTCCACCCATTAGATGCCAGTAGCACCCCACTTCCATCACATCAATCAAAAATATCTCTAGGCATTGTCAAATGTCTCCTAGGAGGTAAAATCATCCCCAGTTGAGAACCACTGCTCTAGTGGATGCAGGGCATACAGTACATGTCCAATAAATACTTATCGACTGCTCCTGCATTAAGTGAAAGAACACTAATACCATCATAAAAATAATGAAATAGAAAGCAAGGAACTTTCTATAGGGTTTTGCTATGTGCCCAACTCCTTACTACATGCAGTCATAAAGAATACCTTAATACTGACAATTAAATCTCATACCCAACCACTTCTTTTATAAAACTCTTCCCAAAGATGTTAAGAAAAATAAATGTCACATCCCCATTTCAGTTTTGCTTACTTATCAAGAACACAGGAATAGCCAATCTGAGGAAAGAAAACTTTGGCCAGACACTGATAAATGTTTATTTCAAAAATATTTACTAACCAGATTATTACTTTGTTTTTTCTAGAGGCCTTACTCTATTACCCATGATCCTCTAGGAAGTCCCCTATATATCTCAAGCTCTTAATACTTCTCATTTCTACACACACATATACACAATGCATTTAGGTTATCCCCAAATATAAACTGGTTCATACAGGAAATGCATAAAAACAGGCTAAATTGAATATACCTTCTATAATGTTCTTCCTCTTTGGTAAAACAGTGTTTTATAAACAAGAGATAAAGAGGTAATAATGAAACATGGGCTGCATCTTGCTGAACATATAATACCAATTGTTGCCCCTAAAGCAGTGTTTCTTGGCTACATCTTTGGTGGACAGTCACTTAAAAATTTAAAAATAATAAATTTAGTTTTCCTGAAAAGTCTGGGCTAAGTGCCAATCTCTTTTTCAAAATGTAAGCTTGGTTTTTGTGGGGGTTTTTTTTGTTTGTTTGGCAGCTGGCTAGTACAGGGATCTGAACCCTTGACCTTGCTGTTATAACAGGGTTATAATTCTTTAATGTTGTTGACCACTGTAATTGCCAAAAATACAAAGAAAATAAAAGTTTCAAGTATTATACAATTTTTACAGTAGAGGAAATACTTTGAAAAGATAAAAGAAATTCAAAATAACATACATTATTAGGCTAGAAGATACATTCATGCCATAGAGTAAGGGTTCTCAACAGAGTGTGAGGGGTGAAGATTGCCTCCAAATGACATTTGGCAATGTCTGGGAACACTTTTGGTTGTCACCACTGTGAGGCACTACTGGCATCTAGCAAGTGGAGGTCAGGGATATTGCTAAACATTTAATACTGCACAAGACACTCCCAACAAACAATGACTCAACCCGAAATGACAACAGTGCTAAGACTGAGAAACACTTCCAGAGTTGGCAAATTCAGAAATCAAGATGGAGAGGAGGGAACTCTTCAATTAAAAGATAAATGTAACACACACATAACACAATTTAAACACCAAGACTTACATTAATTTGCTTTTTTTCAACAAGGATATACTTTAGATTACATTTTTTCATAAAATGAGTTGATAATGATGGTGGTGAATCTGGATCAATAGGAGCATAAGCAGCAGGGACTTGGAGAATTCTAAAGAAACAAATACAAAGTAAGCATAGAATGTCAAATATAATCCTCCTTTAAGCACTTCTATTTCTCTATGCACTTTACTGTTTAGTTTATCAGAAATTCCCACTGTTTTTATTGACACATCTTTGGTTATAAATATTGTTATTTTATCCTGCTCTTAATGAATATCCTGATTATATAAAATTCTATATTAAATTCTCAGCACTGAATATAGAGAAATACAAGATTTTCCAAAGTTAATGCATTATACGGTATAATACACTCGGTTAACTGGCCACTACTAAAATGCCAAACAGGTAGCAGAGTCTAATTTCTTTATTTGTTTATACAGGATAACGTAAAAAAAGCTAAACACCCACATGCAACTTATTAGTATGCAGATCCTCATAAGAATAGACAAAAGACATATTTCACCAAAATCAGTATACCTTACAGGAAAAAATAAATCTTTAAAATTCATTTGTATCTAGCAATACTTGTACAAACTCTTATAATACTTGTATAAATAAATCAAAGTTCATTTAGTCATTTTTAGTAAAAGTACTTTGAGATATACCTTGGGGACACTAGATCTTTGCATATAGTAAAGTCTTGATAAAGTTTTGTCAATGATTGAATGAAAGTAAATTTTAGAACATTTTTTGCTTTACGCATATAATTAATCAACTAAGACACATATTATGGAATGAACATCAACTTCTCTCATTGGCATTAATTTAATGCAGAACCCTAGGACAGAAATCACTATATGAGGGTGATATTCTAGAACAATTTAAGTAATTAAACATTTTGTAAATATTTGTTTGAATAAGTGCCTGCTAATGCAATTTTTATGAACTATTATCCAAAACTCTCGTTCATTCATTCACTGAATACCTGAGGGCCTAAAATTTCAGTCTGAAGGGGTAAAAAGATAGTCATGTTATTTCTGAAATCCTTGTTTTCTCTGATCTAACAACAAATTGTTATAAATTGTTACAACTGTTTTCCTTTGACAAATAAAGCCCTTATATTTTGAAGATATTTAAATATTCTAATAGTGAAAACTTCTAGTCTTTCCTAAATAAGCTCAGATTAATTAATTTAAATGATCAAAAATAATTAGGGGAAATGTGATCCCCTTTAGCATCTCTAGAATTGACCAAGCAATACAGAAAAATTCAACAGTAAACAGAACAGTAAATTGCAATATATTCTATGTATTAAAAAATTATAAATTAGCTTAAACTAATACCAAATTTATAGTTCTAAAAAACATTACCCTAAAATCCAAGAGGGTAAATTTATCCCAGGTTGGCAGTATAGACCAATTTCCCGAATTCCTTGAAAGTCACAGTGTAATAGCAGAAAACTTGATAATTCTGAAGCAGTATTAATCACAGTCTTGTAGGTGTAATAAACTGGAGGTTGGTTGTTGCATTCATCAAAACACACAGCTATTTTGTCCAAATAAAGGGAGGCAGCCTGATATACCAATTCCTGAAGAGTCATTTCACTGAAGTTTACCTAAACATCATTGGTAGCAGAGAACTCTATGTACATATAGAAAAGTAAGTAAATAAATAAATACATAAATTCCTGTAGGAATTTAACTTGTGAAAGCAAATTAACCTTTCCTAGAAAAAAGGAAAAAACCCTAACTCCCATACATCCAATTTTAGACCACTATATATAAAAACAGTGCTTATCACTATTCATTATTTTACAGAGGTCACACTTTCATAATTGTTAAGTAAGCTTTTCAAAAAACTCTAGTTTATTTGACTTTTAAATTTCAAATAAATTCATTTAAATTTAGACTGTAGTGTTACAACTCAATAAAGCATTATATCAAAACAATGTTCTCTGGGCTTCTCAATGCAGATTATGTAAAAAGAAGGTTTGAAACAGTATTTCATCAAAGAAACATTAAGGATGAATGATATTAAAAAAAAGTTCACAACTGTTAGTGTTTCCTTGAAAGTAAAGGTGATTTTCCCCCCTCTCTGAGCCCTATTTGCCATATTTCAAAGCAAGTAAGATTTATCAAGTAGCTTTTTTTCTTTATCAAGTAGCCTATTTTAATTATTCAGCTTTTTTATTCGTTCATACTTATTTGAACTGATTTGCTTACTGATTCAAAATAAAATTAATTTTCATCCATGTCACTTAATGAAAATCAGAAAAAATAAAACATTCCTACTTAGAGCAAAATGAACCAATAACTGCTGAGACCCTTAAAATTTGAAAATGCTGTGATTTCTAAATATAAAGTTTAAAAATACAAGACAACTTTAGTACTTATGGTATTTCTTTTCAGTAAGTATTTCTATAAATACGAGCTCTTTTTGTGATGAAAAAGATATAGTTTTTAAGCTTTCTTCCTATACAGAAATGATCATTACGTAAATATAAGAAAGACTTTTCATAGCAGCCCCACAAGTATGGGAAATGAGATTACTGTGAAAGAGTACGTTCTGCTACCCTCTCCTGCACATGAATACCATTATGGAATGCATTATACTGAGCCATTTTTACAAAAATTTAGACTATGTGCCCAAGGTGCTTACTTTTCTTGAATGCAAAAATACGTATGGCAGTTAATTTTCCAGACGAGAACAACCTGATTAAAATATTACACTTTTTAAAATTACTTCACTTCAAAATAAGGGGAAGGATTACAGAAGAATTAAAAAAGAAAATGTCATTTTCATGATAAATTACAACACTCACCACACATATCTATATAATAATTAGGATGTTTTTCTACCTTTAATTTCCAGTTTCTACAGAGAATTAAGGCAAGCTCCAATGTTGTCTCAGGTTTTCATTTTCATTCATTGAATCATAAATACATTCTCTTCAGTATAGAAAACTATACTTGTTAGATGCCCAAACATTTCTGGAACCTTATAAGGGGGAAGGGGGGAAGGCAAAATCTACTAAGTGGATTGTATATGTAATCGCATCATTAAGTTTAAGATATTTGCTACTTTACAACTGTAAAGGCTGCTATTTAGTCACCAGAGGTCTTTTTTTTTGGGGGGGGGGCTGTCTGGTAAGGGGATCTGAACCCACGACCTTGGTGTTACAAGGCTGCGCTCCAACCAACCGAGTAACCGGCAGCCACACCACAGATCTTCAGAGTGTCAACAAATCCTATTGCTTTGGGGACTCTTCCTAGGTTACTGTCTAAAGTAAATGATCAAGAAACTTTACCTTCCCTTATCCACATGCTTCTTAACTTACATTATGCAACGACGTTTCCTTTTTGTCTTTCTTCGTAACCGGCAAGGGGATCGTAACCCTCGGTGTCGCGTCAGCACCGCGCTCAACCAGTGAGCAGACCGGTCTCTATATGGGATCCGAACCCTCGGCGGGAGCGCCACCCTCTACCGAGTGCGCCACCGAGCGGCCCGCAACGACGTTTAATAACAATGCACTTTCTAGCTTCTAAAACATTCTTTCACGTACTCTTTAAAACCACACGAGGAAATAGGCGGAGCAGGCTCATTTCTATTTTAACGAAGGATTAGGTGACTCTGGAGAGATCACACTGGTCAGGTTTAGATTGCATCACGCCAGTTTGCCAGACACCCCGACCCAAATCTGAGGCCAGGCAGTGGTCCTGAGGCTGAGCAAATGTCCGCAGATGCAGTCTCACGCCCGGCCGCGCTTCGCCTTCCTCACACAGACACCCGCCAAATACCAAGTCCTGCCGGGACTTACTAAGAAGACGCCCTCCGGACCTTTTCCAAACAACCACTCGCAAACACTCCACACGGCGCAGTTACCCAGAAGCCGTAAAGCTACCCCGCCGCACGGCCACTTACGTAAATCTCCCGCGCCGCCGCGTTGACGTCAGCAAGAGGCGCCGGGTCAGCGCTGCCCAGGCTACTCCTGGAGCTTCGGGGTCACCCTGGGAGAAGATCCCCGGGTCTTTCGCTAACGGCTTACAGCTCAGATGTTCCCTTTGTTTGCACTGGGTCGTGGACAGAGTTTGCAACAACTTTGGAGCTGACCAGCTTGGAGCCGTACCATTTCAAACTTGCCACGGAACTCTTGGCAAGATTCTTGAATTTTGAGCCGCAGTCTCCTCGTTTATAAAGTGGGAATAAAAATATCGCCTATTGTTTACGTGAGGAAAGATGAAATCACTGTGAGAGTGATTGGCTTTCATCCACTCGACATTTTGAGAACTTGCCTGAGACTGCTGGGGACTGTGACTGCAGCGATGAAGTCTGCAAAGATAGTCTCTGCCATAATGAAGTTGACATTTGAATTGGGAAGGAGATTGAAACTAACTAGAATTTAACAGGAGCCTTTAATAGGATATGTCAAGAAAATAAAACAGGGCTGAGGTGGTAAGAGTTATGTAAACTATGTCTGAGTAGAAGTTCCTGTTTCCAAGGCAGTTGTGATAGGGCTACTGTGCAGTAGCAGCAAGGAAATGATTAAGGGTTTTTTTGTTTGTTTTGTTTTGGCGGGGTCAAGAGCTGAGAGGGTAGTTCAGCATCGACAATAAATGAAAAAGCATAAGATATTCTCGTGTTCTTAGTTGTTGGTGATAAGAAAACTGGCACTAATCCAAGCAAGAACTGTCTCCACTTGCTAACTATAATTTTACACCAGCATGTACTTACTCAAACTAAAATGGACTTTTTTTTTCTGATGGGGTGGGGGAGGATGGCTGCGGGCAGGGGTATGTGTGCCCCAAACATGTGTCTTGTGTTTGCTTTTATATATGGGAATGACACCACGGTCCACCCAGCCAACCGGTTAACTATCTCACTTCTTACCCTTCCATAGCCAGTAAGACCCTATGTCCTCCCATCCCCAGTCTCTAAACCAGCGCCAATACGGCTACATCAGAATTGCCCCTGGCTGACGTTTAAAAAGACAGGTTCCAGGGCTGGTCAGTTTCTCAGCTGGTTAGAGCACGGTGTTATAACACCAAAGTCAAGGCTTCGGATTTCCCTACCAGCTGGACGCCAAAAAAAGAAAAAGAAAGAAAGAAAAACAGATTCCTGGACCCCATCTCCATAGGTTCTGAATTGGTTTTCTAGTGAGGGGCCTAGATCTTCATCTCCACTACTACTACCTTAGTTCAGGTCTTTTTGGTAAGCTTTTTGTTAAAGACTCTCCAGCCTTCCTTGGCTCCAGTTAACTCTGAATTACTGCCAGAGTAATCTCTTTTTTACTGCAACTCTCTGACATTAATGACAGTTTTTTCTCCCTTGTAGTCTATTTCCCTCCTTACTTCTTTTTCCTTTTTTTTTTTTAAGTAGCTGGCCAGTTCGTGGATCTGAACTCTTAACCTTGGTGTTTTAACACCGCACTCTAAAAAACTGAGGTAACCCACCAGCCCTTCTTTTTCTTTTTTCTATTGGCTCTATCTTTCATGTTAGAGGCGTTCCTAGACTTGTCTGGTGATCTTTGATTACCTGCTCATATTTAAAAGGGGGGCATTTAAAAGCTGATCAGAACTTCTGAGTCCGTGGAACAAGTTTGTTGAATATCAACACTTGCCTGTCACAATTAATGAACCCACATTGACATATCATTATTATCCAAAGTCGTAATTTACATTAGAGTTCACTGATGAGTGGTAGATACATGTATAACATGTACTTACAATTATTGTGTCAGACAGACTATAGTTTCACTGCCCTAAAAATCCTGTGCTCTGCCTACTCATCCTTCCCTCCCTGCTAACCCCTGGCAACGGCTTACCTTTTACTGTCTCCCAAGTTCTGCCTTTCCAGAATGTCATATAGTTAGAATCATTTAGTATGTAATATTTTCAGACTGGCTTCTTTCACTTAGTAATATACAGTTTAAGTTTCCTCCATGTCATTTCATGGCTTGATAGCTCATTTCTTTTTAGCACTTAATATTCCATTGTCTGGATATACTGTTTACTCATTTACCTACTCTATTTTGATTTTTACAGGTACTTCACACACACACACACACACACACACACACACACTCTCACACACTCACTCACTCACTCACACACTCACACACTCACTCACTCACTCAGAATTTAAGCCTTCTATGATACCCTGCTCATTCCCCCAAATGTTTCTGAAGAACCTGCTATTACTAATTACTTTTGTTCCTCCTACTCAACCAGCAGTTTTGCCTAGTTCACAAGAGATGGTCTACATATTAAAATGCCTGGATCAGAGAAATAAGATCTGACTATCTGGTGCCAAGTATGGAGCCTGGATGTTGTTTTTGTGTTGTTTACCATAGTGCACTAAAAGTCACTATTTAAAAAAAAACAACAAACACATTCAAACATACTTATTACATATATTTGTTACCAAGGCATCACAAAGAAGTCACAAAAAAGTAGGATTAGTTTGGTGCACAGTATAGATCCTGTGAAAACAAGTTTTTCCTCCTCTCTGAAGTTTACGATACTCTACTTATGTAAATTTAAAGCAGTTAACCAACATTTGAGATTAAATTAGTAAAAAAAAAAAAAGTAATTTAATTCAGACTTCAGAAATTTGTGAAATAAAAGACCATGACAGAGAAATATTAAGATATTTGTAGAATTACCAAATTGTCACAATATTATTTTCTCTTATAAAAGCATCTCAATAAAATAAAAACTATTGAAAACACAAAAGTCAAATCAGAGATTTTGGTTTAGTACTTTCCCTGAGTCTCTTGTTTTTAAAAATTAAATGTAAGCAATGCCAGTTCAAAACTGACTCAAAGGTCTTGCCTCCTCCACGCTGCCATGAATACATTTAAGACAGGAGGCTACATACACTGAAATGGTCCCAGGGCTTTATTCAAATGCCAATTTGCCTGTGTCACTGCCACAGGGTTATCTGACCCACTGCTGCATGAGGGCTTTAAAGAGCTGTCAAGATTTTATCTTAGCCTGCCATAATATAACACATGAGACTATATACCAAATGAAGACAATTTCAGTTATTAATAAATATTAATTTTTGAAATGGATTTGGACACTATATACATCAAACTATGATAACATAACCCAGAAACAAACACTTTTATATTTTAAAAGTCTTATACAAGTGGGAGTTGGGAGGCAAGTCATCTTAAGCCTCTAAAGCTCAGATGTTACAAGAATAAAATTTCAAAAAAATTGAATCCATTAGATAGATCCTAATAGAGCAGAAAAAAGTTATTTTAAGTTGATCCTTGGATATGGGCATTCGAATTCCAAAAAAGTAGTTGTCTCCTTGATCCTTAAACAAGATTGGTCCCTACTACGCTTCTACTTGATCACTTAATTGCAATCATATGTTATATATATATATGCACCTACATGTATATATACTTGTAAGTGATCAATCACCTCACTTAAAAAGCATATGATAATCAAATTAAAAATAAAGTTTGTTAAAATATAAAATTTTGCTTTATTTTATTTCAAATGTACTAGGTTAATTGCTGGGCTTATACTATTAGGACATTATTATAGATTACACTTTCTAGTCAAATATAGAAAAAACTTCTCCACAGACAGTTGTTTACAATCATTCTTGGGGCATCTCAAAGACAGATGGCAAAAATCTGCCAAACTGTATATCTCCCTCCATCATAAAGAAATCTCCACTGCAAACTAATTTCAAAAAAGCTAACAAACATTAGCTTTTCAAAAACTAATAATCATGCACTATCTTAAAATTTAGGGGCGAAATGATGGCTCAAACCACCAAAAGTATGACACTAATTTACATTCCTATTAATTATTTTATTAATATAAGTACCCCATTGCAAAGGTGGGGAAACTGAGGCACAAAGGATTAGAATTTTTTTGTTTTAAGATCTGTCTAAGGTTAGGCAGGAAAACCAAGGTCATAACTACAGTCAGAACTGTAGAGGCTAGACACCTATGGGGTATAATTCAAAGTTTGCATTAAAAGTTATATTTAACTCATCTCTCCTGTTTGCAGCACACCTCCTATCTTAGCCTAACATCTCGCTAACCCTTTAAAGCAAGAACTTGGCAAATGGCAGTCAACACCTGCCGTCTAGCCAATGCTTGTGTAAAACAAGAATATCACAGATTGTTGTACTATACATAATTAATTAACAAGATTCAATTATAGCACTTTGATACCTTTTTCAGAAAAAAATCTCAAAACTTACAAAGGTAAACATAAGCATGTGGCTTTATATGTTATACCACATAAGTAACAGTAAATAGATAAGGTGTAACCACTATAACTTCTTGACCAACTTTATATCTTGAAACAACGCCCCTAACAGCTACCAATCCAATTCTACAGGGTATTTTCCAGTGAGACAAGCTGTACAATGACCATTCTTTTCAAAACATTCCAGAACATTTCCATTTTCTTTAATCATAGTATGGTGCTTTTCCACTTTCTGTTTTTTAAATTTTATCCCTTCTTGTACAGATGAAACCAGTCCTTCTACTGACAGATACACAACACTGTTTGCTCCTACAGGGAAAAAAGAGAAAAATAAAAGAGATTTTCCTTTAGAAACAAAGAAATCCTTCAAAAGAGAATAGTTGCAGAGGAATTTAATCCACGTTAAAATTTCTCCTTTAACCTTTCTTTAAAAAGGCGGGGGGGGGGGCGCACAATAAAACTAAGGGCCTTTATTTTTAAATTTATAAATTTAAATTTGGGGGATAATATAATTTAAACAGCAGGGGAGACTTCAAGTCTAGAATGGATTTAGAAGGCTTTCGGAGTAATTATGTTGATTGAGAAAATAGATTTTGAAGTCAGGAAGATCTAGGCTCAAATTTAAGCTCAAGGTCCCTTACTTTTCCTAAGTCTACTTTTGCATCTAAGATGTTATTATTACCATATAGATAATGCATGTGGCACAGTTCCTGGCAAAGAGGGAGTGCTCACAATATGATATCCATCAGGGTGATATTCAAAATATTTAATTGGTAGGGCACAGTTAAAAGAAACAGCATCCATACGTGACCAATGTGGTACCAAGGCACAATGGCTGAACATACTGTGATATTTAAATAGTTTATGTATTGCTTAATTATAAAAGGAAGATGTCTTATCCAGGATAACCTAGATATCTCCAAGTCTCCTTATCTCATTATTAAAGATAAGCCCACATAAGCTTTTTACTTTTTGACTTGTATTCACATCCAAATTATTCTGTTAGAATATGTGATCAGGTCCCTCCTACTTGGAAACCCTTTCCTCCTTCTCTGATCTCACTTTGGCCTAGCTCTCCAACACAGCATTTGCTATGGTGTCTATACATGTCTATGCTCACTTTTCAGAAGTGTTCAATATCTGCTTAACATATACGATAAATTATTTTTAACATATATTGAAGATTACTTTTTATTATAGATGTAAAGACTGACAAGCTTTAGATTTTCTCTGTTAATAAACGATTTTTTTGTGTGTGTGTGGCTGGCCGGTAAGGGGATCTGAACCCTTGACTTTGGTATAACACAGCGCTCTAACCAACTGAATTAATGGGCCAGCCCCAATAAACAACTAAAGATAAAGTTTATAGAAATTTTAATACCTACCTAGATATTCTGCAAGATGATCAAATTCTGGTTTATTGGCAATAAGCTCTTCCTTTGTGGGAATGTTAATTCCCATGAAGCACGGATATCTAATTGGTGGTGAAGCTACTCGAATGTGTACCTTGAAAGAAATTATTTCAACTCATTCATTGTAAGAATAATTACGCAAAATTCTCTTTCATTGATCAAATGCAACATAAAATGTTTTACAAAATATTTAGTAACAACGTATGAGTAATAAAGCAAACCACAGAATTTGTCTCGTTGAATAATAAACAAAAAAACATCCTGGAAAATCATGTGGTAAACAGAACTGCAGTGTTCAATCAGAACTATTCATAAAATTAATTAATTACCAAAGAATCCTAGTTGGGTAGCCCTGCTGCAGATTCTAATGTGTCCTGGACAAAAGTTTCAAAATGTTAGCCACTTATAAAAGGTTCTTTCCACAGAGCTGCCCATTGTTTTTTTTCTGTCACCTGTTAATAAGAAGTTCTCTTTCTTCAGATCTCCTACATGTCATTTAATGATTTTATACTCATAGTGCCACTTTCATTTTCTTTTCTAATACCTGAATGGCACTTTCACCTATCCCTTATTTTATCATTTTAAAAAGAAAAATATCTACCAGGTTATAACAAAAACCTTACCACTACGACAGAGCTACTTTTATCTATTATTTTGTCTACTATTATTTTCTGCCTTTTGTCAGGTTCATTTACCTGGCTATAATGTGCCCACATTTACTTTTTAAAGTTTCTTATACAGTAGTCCTCCCTTACACAATGTTTCACTTTCCAAGGTTTCAGTTACACTTGGTCAGCTGCAGTCTGAAAATATTATATGGAAAATTCCAGAAATAATTCATAAGTTTTTTTTTTTTTTTCCTTTTTGTCTTTGTTCGTGTCCGGCAATGGATCGCAACCTCAGTGTCATGCCCGTACCGGACCAGGACCGGCAACGGGATCGCAACCCTCGGTGTAGCTCCCACACCTCGCTCAGCCAGTGAGCAGGAACGGGTCTGTATGTGGGATCCGAACCCTCGGCAGGAGCGCCACCGCGCTCCCAAGCGGCGCACTGTAGCAGTGCGCCACCGGGCCGGCCCCATAATTCATAAGTTTTAAATTGCACATCATTCTGAGTAGTGTGATGAAATCTCATGCCCTCCTGCTCTGTCACTCTGTCCTGCCCGGGATAGAATCCTTTCTTTGTCCAGCATATCCACGCTGTCTATGCTACCTGCTACCCAGTTAGCCACTTAGTAGCCATCTCAGTTATCAGATCACCTGTCACTGTGTCACAGTGCTTGTGTTCAAGTAACCCTTATTTTACTTAATAATGGCCCCAAAGCATTACAGTAGTCATGCTAGCAATTCAAACCTGCCAAAGAGAAGCTATAAAGTATTTCCTTTAAGTGAAATGGTGAAAGTAAATCACAGGTTTGTACATTTAGGGGAAAACATAGTGTGTATATATATATATATATATACACACATATCTATAACTATCTGTCTATTGGGTTTGGCACTATCTATGGTTTCAGGCATCCATTAGGGGTCTTAGAAAATATTCCCCACTGATAAGGGGGGAACTACTGTAATAGGAAGAATTTTCCTCTGTTACTCAGTCTTCATAATTATAGTCTTAATGGCTGTGTCTTATTTCATTACACTGATATATTAATTTACTAAACTATTCTCCTATAGGTAGATATTAAGCCATTTCCAGGTTCTCTGTTTTTGTCTATTCTTTTTTACTACTATAATAGATGTTGTGTTTACTTTATTGTTTTTATTACATAATTTTCCTAGAATTCTAAAGAGTGAGATCATAATCATAATTACAGTCATTAAGAAGGCTAGAAAATCATATCATAATTACAATTATCACTGAAACTCTCTAAATAGACTGTCATATGGCTTTCTATCCTACTTTCTCCTAAAATAGATTTTATTTTTAAATCATTCAACTATTAGTTGTATATGGCATCTCACTTCTGCAATTTGAACAACTGAAATATTTAGAGTTAGAATAAGTTTTAAAATTTAAAAATAGAACTTAATATGTCATACAGATGTCAAAACATCATGTTGTGTACCATAAGTATATACATGTTTATTTGTCAACTGAAAACATTTTTTTCGGGAGATAAAGTAATATAAAAAATAACTTAAAAGGGCCGGCCTGTGGCTCACTCGGGAGAGTGCGGTGCTGATAACACCAAGGCCACGGGTTCGGATCCCATATAGGGATGGCCGGTTAGCTCACTGGGTGAGCGTGGCGCTGACAACACCAAGTCAAGAGTTAAGATCCCCTTACCGGTCATCTTTTTTTTAAAAAATAAATAAATAAATAACTTAATGAATCAAATTTATCACACCAGATTTGGTTCAATGTCTTCAAATAAAGAAAGTAATCAATACTCCACAAATTTAAAAATCATTCTATTTTGTATTTTTTTCTTAGTCTTTTAATTTTGTAAAAATTCTAAGCTTTTATATCAAGCTTTTTAATCCACTAAAGATTAAATTTAGTGTATTGTATAAGAGTGGCTATTACATGTTCTCCAAGTTCCCACACAGTTACTCCTAAACCAACCTGATGTAAAAAATACTAATTTGTGGTGTTAAACTATCTGTTTTGATTTACTGTACTGAACTGCAATTTTTATGCTAGTATCATAGTGTTAATTATTGGTGCTTCAGGATATATTTTAATATTACTTACCTCTTTGGCACCAGATTCTTTGAGCAACTTTATTATGGGTGAGATGGTATTGCCTCTCACAATTGAGTCATCTATAAGAACAATTCTTTTGCCTTTAAAGTTGTCCGACAATACTCCAAATTTTTTTGCAACGCCAAGTTGTCTTAACCTCATGTTTGGCTGAATGAAGGTTCTTCCTACATATCGATTTTTACATAGCACCTCCACATATGGAAGTCCACACTGATAGAGAAAAAATATAAGGACAGTGAGAAGCAATACACAGAATACTCTAGGCTCCTATCTTCTCTAAATTGTGCTGCTATTATAGTATATATGTAAAATTTCAAAATGTGGTTATTATTCTGAACTCTCCATCTTCCGATTACAATTTTCTGTCACTATTTAAACTCTGGGGGGAGGGGGGTGCAGGGAGGCAAAAAGAAAAACCAATGAAAGTAATATATTTGGTGAGAAAACCAATTTCATTTTGCTAGAATTTGTAATCCTTCTCTCTTAACCAAATATTATTCCTCTGTCTTAGAAGAGAATACTAAGTACATGAAGACATGAGAACAAAAAAGTTAGAAAAACTCACATATTTAAAAATTATCATCATAAGAAATGAATTTAACTCAGTAGGCTAAGGAAATGCTTTTTAAGGACAGGAGGTAATTCATCCATTTCTCACAGTAACCTTCTCTAAAATGTATGTGTATTATTTCTTTGAGAAGCTAATAAACTAAACTATACAGGGTAGGGAATATTGGGTATTATAACCCAGGATTACTATAGTTATATAATCTACCTGGATATGAAAAATGAAATTAAGTGTAGTATTAAGAATATCACCCCAAAGGAACATGAACAGCTTTATTATTACCTATACTTAGTAGGGAACAAATATAGCAGCAGCTTGTGCGGGTACTGCAAAAGTAGGTTTTAATAAGAAGAAAATATTACCACTAAATTCTCTATATATTCATGATGCCATCCTTTTCAAAATTAGGGGGCCAATCTCCTAGTCTTTGGGTGAACCTTTTTATGGTGTTCTCTATATAAAATAGTGCCACTGAAAGAAAGGCTGGAAAATAAGTAACTTTTGTAAAGGAACCAACATTAACCCCCAAACCTTCCTTATAATAAGTTGATGAGTTTCTCTTTATGGGCAAGAATTTCTTATTCAACTGCTAGAAGAGCAACTCACTGCATGTTAATTAAGAGAAAATACCTTTCCTGCATAACCAAGAGCAGCGGGCGTAGCAGATTCTGGAACAGTGCTAACCAAATCTGCATCCACAGGTGCTTCCATCGCAAGCTGCTGACCACAACGGTATCTTACAGTATAAACCATTTGGTCTGGTATGTACGGAAAAGGAAATAAGATTATTTTTACTTAGCATAATATAATATTGCTATTCTAAAAAAACTAGTGCTATAACTCTACAGACTGACTATATAAAGAAAAGCGATACAAGGGCTGGCCAGTTAGCTCAGTTGGTTAGAGTGCAGTGTTGTGACACGAAGGTCAAGGGTTTGGATCCTTGTACTAGCCAGCCAACCCCCACCCAAGAAAGAAAGAAAGAAGAGAGAGAGAGATGAGAGAGAGAGGAGAGAGGAGAGAGCAGAGGGGGGAGGAGAGAGGAGAGAGAGGGGGAGAGAGAGAGAGAGAGAGAGAGAGAGAAAAGCAATATAAAAACACTAAGTAAGGTAGAAATACACAAACAGGGGAATTCAACTGTGTGGGTTTTTTAAAATTTGACCTTAATATAGATCTGAAAATCATAATCCTTACTTCTAAAAGAAAAACAAAATCCAGCCAAAAAGAAGGGAAAAATAACAATCTAATGACATGTAAGCTCAGTCCTATATCCATAAAATATAACTAAGTGCCTTCAAAGAGCCAGAAAAGCCTTTGGGTCAAGAACTACCATGTTTCAATAAGATAAATAAGAGGTTTATATGAACAGTCAAACAAAAGAAATGTGCTTACCTTCAAACATACTATCTGGTCTTGCAAAATAAACATATTCAAAAATACAAAAAGCTATTGGGTTTCCTTCAGATCTTGATACAATATCAAGAGTTCGGACATTATGTCTGGATATTTCCACAATTTCTCCAGGCAAGACTTCACGGTAATATCTTAGGAAACAATGTTAAAGAAAGAAGACTTGTAATAAACCAGTTTTTTTTTTACACCCCCCTCTCCCCATAAACCAGTTCTTAAAGCTAAAGATAACATCAATTATAAAGTATACAAAGAGTCCCCTCTCATAGAGAAAAAGTGGATTCATTATAAAGTCTAGAGATGGCTTAAGAAAAAAAAAAATTAATATGGTTCCAGCAGAAATTTCTGTAAACCTTTCTGTTGCTCCAAGTTGTAACTTAGAATTTAAAATATAGGGGCCGTAAGTTTTATTGATTTTTGAAAGAATAAAGGTTAATGAAAACATTTTTATCCTTGCTTAAGTTTTTCTATCTTAATTCTTCTTTGTTAAGGAAGTTCTTCCTTTCTAAAAAGTCTTGTGGTATTTTGAAAGAAAGTTGCCAGTTTCAGAATTAGAAGGCATTAATGGAACATTAAAGTTAAATTCAAGTGCAACTGCTGAGCACAATGTACATACGAAAATGCATTTATAAATATTTTCTTGCAGATATCAGAAAAACTTTCATGTAAATATCAAAAGAAAAATTTCTTATTAATGTGGAAAAAGAGAATATTCTGAATCAGGTAAAACTTACCTTGCACCAATAGATAAAAAGCTACAAGATTCTGAAGACACCACCCACCCTTCTGTTGCTGATGTTTTTTTCTCTGTAAATCACAAGACAATCAATTCAGTTAATGCAGTCAAGGAATTTTAAACGAGGCTATTGCAACAGAATGGTTAAGCACCAAATAGATAAATAAAAAGGCTCATAGAATAGTCACTTCTATGGATCTTCATTTGACTTAAGCCAAAAATAAATATATGCTCTTTTAAAATCCCTTCTAACATTATGATTTCATAGCTTGAGTATATCTGATAAGTCAAAAAGAAAATCAGTAAAATCATACTGCAGAAATGAAAAAGCTAGGCAAAGGATATGAATAAGCAATTCAGACGGGAAAAAATAGGAATGTTCACTAAATACATTAAAAGTGACTCATCTTCATAAGTACTCAAAGAAGTGTACTTTAAAAACTAAGAATATACCATTTTTTTCTTTTTTACCTAGCCTTTGTCTATAAGCTTCCTACACCTAAAGGTTTCAGGGCTTGCCAGCAGTAGGACAATTCCTTCTGAAGTTCATTACCTTTGTCATTTATATCAGATACTGGAATAAGACGACCAATGCATAGAGGTCGATTTCCATAAGGATCTCGTACTGCATAAATAACATCTCTGTGCATTATAAGCAAGGAATATGCTGTGGGTGCTTCCTTCATTAAGTTTTTGATCCTGAAATTAATTAAATAATTGAGTGAATAACTTTAGTTATAAACATAAGCAAAGGCAAAGTTCTCATTACCAGAGCTGCAAGTTTAGTCCATTGCTAATTACCTTGCTACCCAGTCTGGGATGTCATCTTGTTCCTGAGGAGGGGTATATGCCAGTAATTGGGTAATCATTTCACTATCAGAACTTGTGGACAGACCAATACCATGACGCAGAAGCTATGTAGAAAGGTGAAAAGTTTAATCATTAGACAGGAAGCTCTACCCCACCCCTCACCCAACAGCCCAACATAATAGAAAGCAGGCATTCTGCAGATACTCAGTTATGAAAATCCTGGGTAACTAATGGTATGCATATACTAATAATAGAGGACACTGCTGGAGGCAATAGGAAGTCTCTGAAGGTTTTCAAGCAAAAAAAAAGTACTTTAGGAGCTATGCAGAAAAGCTTTTGAAGACTAAGTTTGAGGCATGGAGACCCACAATGGGGTGCAGGGGACTGAAGATTTATACTGCGGGTCCTACTTTTTCTACCCTCAACACTCTTGATGAACAGGACACAATCCCATAAGAGTGGCTCTACATTGGTGATTCTTAAGCTGGGTTTGTTGGTGGTAGTAGTGATGGTAGCTACCCATCCGCATTGATTACCATTGATAGAAGAAAGGAATCTACTGTACTGATTAAATTAAATGTAGGAGATGTCATGAATATTGGTTGGTTACACTCTATGAAGATTATGAGGTTCTGAGCAAAACTGTCCAGGACAAGGGAAGCACAATGGACATGCACAGACTGAGTTTAAGTGGACACTACAGAACATTTTCAGTAGGCAGCTAAACGTGTAGAGATAAAACCTAGCATTTCGATAAGGGGTTATGTCTGAAAACAATAAGCTAGTGGTTATCTCTCAGTGGTGAATTTTTTTTTAATAGGTTTTACTTCATATTTATACATTTGTGATTGTCTAAGTTTTTTAAATGAACTATACATTTTTTCACCAGGGACAGAAAGGCATATTATCACCGTTATAATAATGCCACAGCCTAAGAAGAGGGCAGGACAAAGCTCTGGGAAATGACCAATGCTGGAATTGAAAATAGAAGAATGAGTGGTACAGAAGCCTAGGCTCTAGATATTTGTGATCCACCAATTCATGATCATTCAGCCTCTGTAAATGATTCATCATCATTCAACTACCATTTATCATATGTGAAATGTTTGGCTCTAGAATGCTAAAAGGTTAATGGTGTTTGTTTGTAACCATCCTATTACTAAACACCACATGGTTCTGATTCAAGATTATTATAACCTAATGAACTGAAGAAACTTGGCATCAATTAATGAATGGCATGAATAGATAAAAAAGAAGCTGCCATGAATATAAAGACACCATGTAATTAAAGAAAAAAAAAAGAAAATGAAATGATGTATGAAGGCATAGGCACAAATTTGACACCATTAACACAGAAAGCTCCAAACAACATGCTATAAACAAAGAGTATAAATAATTGCTCTTTTTTCCTTCTCCCAGACTCTATTTTAATTTCTTGTAATTGTTTCCACTTCATTTTCCTCATACTTGTCATCTGCAAGTTTATATTCCGTTTTCTTCTTATGCTTCAAGTTTATACTCCATTTTTCTTCTCATACCTTTGTGATATTATATATAAGAAATATATATGCTGGGTTTTGTCCTGGTCTTTCCTGGCACATGGCTCCTAAAACCCTTGGAATGGCCAAAATAAGTGTCTTCTTGTATGCTAATGAGGTGACTGGTGGCTAGGGGCTTCTAGACAGCCTCAGGATGAAAATAAGTGTCTTCTTGTATGCTAATGAGGTGACTGGTGGCTAGGGGCTTCTAGACAGCCTCAGTTCCCAGGTGACTGGTGGCTAGGGGCTTCTAGACAGCCTCAGGATGGGGGCTGGTGCCACGGGAACCAATCCTGTGACTAGAGGGCTGAAACTTTCAGCTTCACCCCCAGATTTCTGGGGAGGGAAGAGAGGCTAAAGGTTGAGTTGATCACCAATGGCCAACTGTAGAGGATATCGACATTAATGAGATAGAAATAAAACACATGTATTTCACAGGGCCAAAGCCTATAGCATAGTAGGACCAAAGTCCTTAGTTTAAGCCAAAGCCCAACTCTTTAGGAACACACATAGAAATGCTAAGATTAGGAATAATCAGGGGCCGAGCCCGTGGCGCATTTGGGAGAGTGCAGCTCTGGGAGCGCAGTGACGCTCCCGCCGTGGGTTCGGATCCTATATAGGAATGGCTGGTGCGCTCACTGGCTGAGCGTGGTGTGGGCGACACCACACCAAGGGTTGCAATCCCCTTACCGGTCACGAAAAAAGACAAAAAAAAAAAGGAATAATCAGAAAACTTTCTCAGGACTAAAGCCCTTGATGTAGATAAGAGAACTGAAGCACAGCAAAAGTGATTGCTCTGGGGGCAGTTGCCCTTGGTGCAGCTAAACCTAAATGATGGAAAAGTATGTGAGCTAAAATCTTCAAGGATATTCTGCTAGTTAGTGGTTGGGGGATGCTCCACATCCGGCCCTCAGCTGTTTCTTTGAGTTTCTTAGGGAGCTAAGCGCTAGTACAGTGATTATGTCATTGTTTCTTTTTGTATGTCACATGGCTTAGTTTTATGACTCCTTTTGATGGTAAATTTCTTGAACTACTTTAAGTTACACCTGCTTTAATGAAGACTGCCATGTAGCCAGTTTATGTTTTCACTATGATTGATTAACCACCTGTGTTTCTTCTGTAACTTTCTTGCCTGTACAATAAAAACTGAAGCAAAAACCTGATTTGGGGCTGTGCCTTGGCTCTCCTCTCTTGAAGGAGTTTTCCCCGGGTGCAGTCCCTTCGAGCTTCTCATAGCTCTGAATACATGCGCTCTGAGTAATCTTTCGCATCTCTGTCACTCTGTGAGAGGTGACAGTCAATAATTTAATCAATCATGCTTGCTTAATGAAGCCTCCACAAAAGCCCAGAAAGAGTGGGTTTAAAGAGCTTCCGGATAGCTGAACTCTTGGAGATCCCTTTCCAACATAACTTGCCTTATCCATCTCTTCGTCTGACTTTTCTTCTGTATCCTTTGTAATATCCTTTCCAATAAAATGGTAAATTAACTAACACATTTTCCTGGGTTCTATGAGCCACTCCAGCAAATGATCAAAACCAAAGGAGGGGTTCATGGGAACTACCAATGTATGACTGGTCAGGTAGAAGTACTGGTAGCCTGGACTTGCAATTGGAAAGTGGGGGGCAGTATCATGGGACTGAGCCTTTAACCTGTGGGATCTGACTCTAACTCAGGTAGTATCAGAACTGAACTGAATTATAGGACACCCAGTTGGTGTCCTCTGGAAAACTGGTTGGTGTGTGAAACTACCACATTTGGTCACAGAAGTCTGCTGTGTTGAGTATGGAGTAGAGATCTGACTCTAACTCAGGTAGTATCAGAACTGAACTGAATTATAGGACACCCAGTTGGTGTACTCTGGAAAACTGGTTGGTGTGTGAAACTACCACATTTGGTCACAGAAGTCTGCTGTGTTGAGTATGGAGTAGGAAAATGTTTGGTTTTTCCTATCTCATACAAGTTTTGAACATAGGAACAAAGTTAAAGAGACAGCAAGAGTTCATAAGCCCTAATTTTTCTATGCTTCTACTAGCAACCATAAACCAACTTTCCTAAATCTCTACTCTAAGGCAGTGCATTAGAATCACCTTGGGAGCATATTAAAATGTAGATTCTCACCCCTGCCCCCAACTCTGGGGTTGTATCTTAGAATCTGGAATTATAACAAGTACTCCAAGTAATTCTGGTGTAATTGCTCATTGCAGTTAGGTAACAGGTAGCAACAATTAAATGCCATTTACCAATATCTTCAATTTCTTTTCATTAACTAATCCTAATCATGAAAAAGCATTAAAAAAAAAAAAAAAACTTACCTTTTTCCTTAATCGAGCAGCATTTACCAGTTCACCATTATGTGCCACAGCTATTTTCCCATGAAGTGTTTCAACAACAAACGGCTGACAATTTTCTAATTCACACTTTCCTGTAGTGGCATACCTTGTGTGTCCAATTCCAAGATTTGAAACATATAATTTCTTCAAACTGTCTTCAGTAAAGACATGATTTACAAGACCCATTCCCTTGTGAAATCAAAGTAAAAGTGCATCTTAGAAAAAAGCACACTAGTCCTGCTGGTGAGTAATAAAAGCCTCTATGCTCAGGCATTCCAAGTTACACAATGCAGTTCACTTAATTTCTCTGTGCTTCAGAATTCTAATATTTAAAAAAAGAGAGACAAACCTAACTGTAAAGACTGTGAAGCATTTACCTTAAAAAAATTTACTGAGGTGAAATTCACATAACATAAAATTAATCATTTTACAGTGAATAATTTAGTGGCATTTAGTGCATTCATAACGTTGAAACACTTGGGTTTTACGAGATACTTTTCATTAAAATATTTAAGAACAGACCTACTAAGCAATAAAAGTTGTCAAACATAAACTAAAATTTGCATTTTAATAAATCAAAGCATCTTAAAGTATTTTTTAAAATGACCCCATTTGAGTGAGTCAGTATTGGCAGCAAACTGTCACTGGGAAAGAAATGCATCCTAACGTAACAAATGTAAGAATATAAAGTTGAAAATGGCAGATCCAAAGAGTGTTATTTCTAATTGCAAATTATTTATTCAGATTTTCCCCACCCCAATATACTAGTGATCATCTGACTATTGTTATCTCTGTCATCAACATTTTTTAATGTTCAAGTTTACCTTGTGTGTTTTAAACGTTGGCACTGAACTCCCATCACTGGTCACGATACCAGCACTCTCCTGACCCCTGTGAATATAAAAAGGTATCAAATGTTAGTTAAATTTATCCACCTGATAAGCTTCTTGAAGAATTTTATCAAGTATAACTTTCTGAAGCATCCATAAATTCAGTCTGACAACACATTAAATGCTACTAGTACTAACACCACTTCTACTGATAATGCTGATGCTGATTAGCAATAGCAGCAGGTGATATTAGAACAAGATGATATTGTCATCTAATTCTAACTAACATGCCTAGTACTGTCCTAAGCATTTTACATGAATGATCTAATCTGGCTTTTACTGCAATCCTATGAAGTGGGTACTATGATTACCATTACCATTTTACAGATAAGCATACTAAAGGAATGAAAAGAAAGTTGAGTAACGTGCCCACTGTCACACAAAGGGCAGGTGGTACAGCCTGGATTAGAACATGGACAATCCAAGACCAGTAATCTCTATACTATATCTCTCTCCTTTAAATAAGGTTTCAACAGGATGAGTGTGTAAATCACTAAAAATGAAAATTTCCGAATATAATGGAAGGTAAAAATGCTTAGTTGTAGATACTGAACTATAAACAACAACAAAAAAGTTTTTTCTTATCTGCATTTTCCAAATTTTCTCTAACAAATATCACTTTGTTATCAGGAAGAAAAAAAAAGTGCTGCTTCTAAAAACTCTTCTTCACCAGGCAACATTTCCATGTTTGTATCTCACTTCCTGCATTAGTGTTTTTAGGTGATGATAACAGAGAAAAAAGCCAAACGCTAGACTGGAGGTAAGGTAACATATAGTAAGACTTAGAGGATCTGTACCATTGTGGAGTATAAACTCTGATAAAATAAAGAATCCAACTGCTCAAAAAATTTTAATAGCTCTGAACAAGTGCTATAAATACTAGATGTTCACTGACAAATTTTTTTTCCAAAGAATGCATATCAAGGAAGAAATAAAAAGTAAGCCTCTTTAATATGTGAAAGTATACTTTAATAATTGTTAATACATTGATTTATTTGGTAAAAAAGGATCTTTTTCAAAATTACATATTATAATTGTTTAGGCATTTTATTAACAGGAAAAACTATAACATTAAACATACTTGCTAAATAAAAATCTATAAAAAAATTGAAATGACTTTACCAAGTTATCAATGCATTAAATACTATGCTGAAAAGAGATATGCATAAGACTATACATCCTATGAAATGAAATACATCTTGACTTAGGATTTCTTTTATTTAATGAAATGATATGGTCTTTAAGTTAACCAATGCTAGAAAATTAGGTGATTCATGTGAGATAAAAAAATATAATATTAACATGAGCTATAAACCTCAGAGAGAAAAGAACCTCTGCCAACCATTTCCAAAAAAATTTTTAAAAATCAACAACTACTTGGAAAAATGGTAAACTATTTAAGAAAAGAAATACACAAAAATGGTTTTCTTTCCCTTTTGTCTCAAGGGTAATTTTTCCTTAAAGCTGAAATGAATAAGGTTAGGAATCATTTAGATCCAGGCTTCTTTAATCACAAAACCTGCTTATTTGGCAGTTTCTCCAGTTACTTCCTCAGTCAGCTTAAACCAGTTAAACTAGGTCCTTTCAGCTCTTGGGAGCTTACTGACAACCACCGTCTGGTTTCCTAGGAAACAAAACGTGGCTAGAAATACTGAATCATTTCCAGGTCACTTTCAACATGGAGAGTGGAGCAGGAAAGCACAGGACTGAGGAGGAGGTTAAAGCTTTCCTCAGTGTCTGGGCAGAAAAAAATATACAAAAACAACTTAATGGGACACTGAGAAATAAGGGAATATTTTACATTGCTAAAAGGCTGCAATCATTAGGAGTATACAGAGATTGGAAACAGTGCTGGGCAAAGTATAAAAATCTCAAATATGAATACAGAACAGTTAAATATGCCCACAACTCTGGAGACAGCTCTAAAACCATTAAGTTCTTCCACGATTTGGATGCAATCCTGCAGTATGAACCTGCCATACAACTACAGAGGAAGATGCAAACGGCAGGTACCTGGCAACGCTGAACTCAAGTACAGGACCAGAGACCACTGAAGGTAAAAAGAAAAAGTACTATTCTTTTGTTTTACAGTTTCAAAAACTGTAAGAGTATAGGACTTCTGAGTTCCTATGATAAATATAGCCTGAAATATCAAGGTTGAGAAAAACAACTGACTTATGCTATTTTGCATGAAAGAGGTAAATACCATTTTAAAAATCTGTAAAATATAGAAAAAGCACATTGAAATGGCATAACAGCTGGCCGGTTAGCTCAGTTGGTTAGAGACAGGCCTTGTAACACCACGGTCAAGAATTTGATTCCCAGTGCCTGCCTTCCATCAAAAAAAAAAAAAAAAGGACATTAACTTCTAGTGCTTACTGCATGTATCATGTTTTTGAAATACAAATTGGGTTCTAAAAATATTTTTGATTCTAATTTTATAAAAGTGGCAAAAAAGAGAGAAAATATGAAAAATACTGCTCAACTGTTATTTTCCCAAATTTCCAAACAAGACAGAACTTTCTCCCCTATTTTAATGTTCCCATTTTCTCAAATATATAAATCAAAGTATTAAAATAGTAAGAACTGATAAACACTTTTTCATTACTTGGAAGAACAGTTCCATTTTACTAATGAAGTAAAACAAAAGCAAACTTAATACATTAAATAATTTAAAGTTAAATGATTTAGGTATTAAAACAAGGTTCTTGACCTTCTGTGTTAAGCCCAGCAGTGTTTACACAGAATTTGAGCACTGTCTGTGGAAGCTGCAAGCATCACTAAGAAAAGGGGGTAAAAAAACAATGACAATAATAAGATTTCTCTCATAGCCAATGTCTTACAGATGCTATTTTTACAAGCAGAGTTCTTCAATACAATTCAAATATTCGTAATACCCACTGTCTGTGTATACCATGTGCAAAGCACTGAGCTACATGAATTCAGTGACATGAAACCTCAAAAAGGAGGGAACAACGAGTAAGTGTAACACCCAAGAGAAAATGCTAAGTAGTATAAGAAAGGTACCAAAAGTGTAGGGGGTTGAGTGACATGAAACCTCAAAAAGGAGGGAACAACGAGTAAGTGTAACACCCAAGAGAAAATGCTTAGTATAAGAAAGGTACCAAAAGTGTAGGGGGTTGAGGACAGAGATTACAGTTGGGTTAACTTGAGTTAGATGAATTTCATGTCTACAACTCTAATAAGTCATTTCATTAAAAAAAAATCCATCCCATTTACACTCTTTGCATTTCTGATACTACAACAAATTCTGAGAAAGCTTTGCAGTCACTACCATGTTAAACAGCAATTACATTATTTTATTCAGTTATTCACCCAGACTCTTCATCACTTAAATTATCTAAATGCTGATTAATAAATCAATTGCTCAGCTTCTGAAAGTTCCTGATTTTAACCAGAGGTGGGTCTGATGGAGATGTGGGTGATAACATCTCCACTTCTTAAAGGGATCTTCTTCTAGCCCTTTCAGGTACCCCCGTGGCTTGCAACTCCTTAGTTTCACTCATAAGCAGAGGGCCTACATTTACCGCTTAACTGTGTATGTTTAAGTTACCTCAAACCCCCAATTCTAAAATCAAACTTGTTCCTCCCCCCACCAAAACTGATCCTCCTAAAAATTGCTTCCACCTTAGTATCATTGTATTTCCAATCATTTACATATAAACGTTTGAGATATCTTTGACTTTTGGTTGCTCACTAAGTCTAAAAAATCTACAGACGTTTCATAAAATTTTCTCCCTGCTCCATTCTCATTATCACCATATGGAACTTCATCATCTCTCTCATGGAATATTAATATAACCTCTTAACTGTTCTCCCTAGTTTTCAGCCTCTTCCCATACATCTTCCACAATGCTACTAGTTGTTCTTTAAAATTCTTAAATTATAAAATTACAAGCACATTAACATTTTGTTTGCATTAAAAATAATCTTTAAATTATACCCAGGATTAACCATAGTTTAAGATTAAATGTTACTGTTAATGGTTCTATAATATCTAACTGAGTACATACACCAGAATTTAAGTCATTGCCACCTTTGAACAAATAATGCTGCAATCAATAACTTTTGTCCATTTTTAACATTATTACTTTAGGATAGACTTTAGAATAGAAGTTCAATTACTGAGCCAAGGGGGGTATGATTACTTTGAAACATATTGCTAAAATACCTGCTTTTCAAAAGAACTGTACTTCACTAGCAATGTGAGAGTGTCCCTTTTACAGAATACCTGTCATGCAAGATTATGGACAGGGTTTATGCTAATTAACCCCATGTATGCTAATTAATAATAGTCCATAATGATGTATACAATTGACAACTTATTTTGCATTTGTCTAATTACTAGTGATGTGGAACATTTTTCTATATATTTATTCACCTTTATAAACTGACTATTCTTGTCAATGGGGGTATTTGAAATTTGCATGACTTCTTTTACCTTATAACAGAATCCAAAAGTTCTGAATGTAACCAAAGTTTCTCTTCTAAGGCTTAAGAAGCCCTCCTTTTACCAGGTTTGATTCATTTGTACTGTTGTCTGGTTTTTCTAGGGTGGAACCAGAAGAATTTTTTATTTGTGTATAGTAAACTGAAGAAAGGAAGAAAACAGTGGAAAAGTGCTTTTTCCTCTCTGAGTGGTAGGGATAGAGAATCTGGTCCCCTCTGTTAAGCAGCAGGTAGCTGGAGCCATGGCAAAGGACCCAAATATACCTTTGACCAAATCTAAGAGATTTCATGTTCTGGTAATTGTAACCATCCTCAACCTCAGAATACCTTTGGCTTACTGCTGCCAGACCACATTCCTTCAGTGGCCAAGTTTCCACTCTATTTCTCTCTTCTTACTTTATACAAATACATCAGGAGTAATAATTTAAGAGTTTCAGTTTAAAATCTCCATGGCATGAGGCCTCTGCACACGATTTTAGGATTCATGTTATAAACTACCAACTTAAGAAAAAATTCCCTGAAGAGGTTGGG